TCTGCTGTTACCAACCACAGAGCTTCAATTCACTCTTGCTCAGAGTAGTGACACCAACTAGTCTGTACTTGCCTCCACGAGGTTCAAAGTCTCATGCCTTACGATTTAATGTTAGATACTGTGATAACACAAAGCATTTCTACAGCCTGGAGATTTCTGTCACCCAGTCATATGAAGGAAGGTCACCTGTAACAAGGTAATGAGGTCACTGAATTGAGAAAAGGTGAAAAGCAGAGGTGATATTCACTAGACTGCATCTTGACAATGGACAGAACACACTTGAGCAATCTCACCTGTGTCATTTTACTATATAATCTTGTCTGGCCCCTAAAGTTGGTCCCTTATACAGGAACCCACTGGAGTCAAATTGTCCTGTTGAGGGGATTGGCTGTACTTAAGATCTTCTCTATTGTTTTTCTGAGAGGGAACAGAATCAGTGCTACGTGCCCAACAGCCAGATTTCCCACTCCCTGGTGGTAACTCTTTGCTCCCATTCACAGTCTTGGGGGAAAAAATATCCTTAATTCTTAGTTCCACTTCAAATTAGATAGATTTAAAACCCAAGGCCAGCAGGCCTTAAATTTTAGCTTACAATGTAATCCTTTGGGAGAACTTGTTGAAGACTGTTAAACTGTCTTATTTGGTCCCGACAATGTGTATTCCTACAATATGTTGATATTAGTCTCAGAGTACCTTTTAGAGAATTACTAACTTAGATTCGTATGCTAATAGGACCTATTTAAATATATCTCATCTTAATCCAAGTAACTGGTACTGCTGAGAAAGATACTGGTCAGGTAAGACAGTAATACTAAGGCAGCAATTCTGAGAATGTCCTCGCTGGAGGCTAGCTATGCTACAACAGAGTTCTGGCTCCTTGTTATCACACACCTTTGTCTGGAAGCTGTAAATGACGTCACTGAAACTAAAAGGCACCTGGTTGGGCCAACTGGACTGACCAAATTGTATTCCTCCCCAATTTCTGCCATAAGACCTTAAAAAGGGATTCTGGGGCTTTGTTGCTAGGCAACATGCTAGGCAAGCATTCTATATTCCCAGGAGCAGTTCCGACTGAGTAGCTTGAACAACAGCATATACATTTTACAGTATTTTTAAAAATCTAGATGCTATTGCAGAGGGTACAGCTCACTAACAAAGCATTTAATATATGTGGAGTCTTTCCTGTTTTAACACTGGCAACACATACACAAATGTACACACTATACATGTCAACCAAGATTTTTTTTTTATTCCACAAAATTTATGTACCATAACTGAATTACCTAGCTCCACTGCTTCCTTAAAAATATTTTGTCATCACCATGTGTGTGTATGCTTCTGGTTTTTCTTCCACCATGAGATCAAGGATCAAACTAAGCTACTTCCCTCTTTAAAACAGCCAATCAATATGTACTATGTACCAGGCATTAAATGTTATGCTAAATGTTGAGATCCAGGCCATCCTGAGTGCATGTGCAGCTAATGATGACCTTTAAGTACTAATAATGCATACCCCATACCACCCACCGTGCCAATTTGCATGTGAGAACCATAAAAGTCCTGCTACTATTCCTTGTGTCTCTCTAAGGACAGCAAGCAATGGGGCTCATAAACAAACTCACAGGTGCATCGGGCCAGTGTCCTTGGAGTCCTCTAGGACACACATGGCAGCATGGTCACAGGTGCTCACTCTCCTCTGCCATGATGTTCAAGAAGTCCTCTGAAATCCACCACTTGCATCTTTCTCTTACTAGTCTCAGAGCAAAAAATTAAATGTTTATAGTATAGTATCTTAAAATTCTCTTCCACTATATTCTAGTCAAGAGTAGTATCAACCCCCCTAATAGTTAACACTGACACCTGCGATCTTCTTTTAGAGCTTACTCAATTCAAAGATCCAGCATGTCAAAGGTTTGCAAGTCAATTCCTTTTGTTTTTTTTTGTTTTTCTTTTTAAGTCTTGGAATCTGACCTACTTATAATTGCTGTATTTTTAGAAACTATAAACACACAAAGCTGCAAAAACATTCATATGTGCACATTTGCCTACATGTGGCCATATGTAAATCTCATGTGTCATCTTCAAGACCTTTAGGTTAGACTGGCTGGCCATTGGGCCCCAGGGATCATCCTGTCTCTTTATCTCTAAAACTCTTGAGATAACGAGTGGTACCACGTCTGGCCTTTTACGTGGCTTCTCAAGATGAAACTCAGATCTTCCTGCTTGTGAATCAACCACTTTACCCATGGAATCATCTCCCTGGTCCTAAATTGTAATTACTGAGGGCCATTAGAACCCTAACTTGTACTGTGAGGTTATCATGGTATTTTTTTTTCTTCCATCATTGGACAAGGTAGTAACATACTTAAAATTCAGGCTAACACAAATTCTTTCTTACACACTCCACTACACCAGAGAGCAAGCAAAACATATGCATTTATCTATCTATCTATCTATCTATCTATCTATCTATCTATCTATCTATCTATCTATCTATCTATCTATCTATAAGTCTGGGTTGGGCAGACCTGATCAGGAACACTGTGATCACAAGTCCTGTTGTTGTCCAAGACAGCCTTAGGGAAGCCGGTTTTGAGTAGTATTTCGGGGAGGGCACTGTTCTGAGTTTTTAAAATGCTTTTTTTTTTTTCTAATTTGGCACTCTACGCACACGGTCATTGAGAGAAAAACACCACTACTATCAAAATTGCCTATCTTCCCATGGAATAAAGTTAGCTTCAACTGACAGCTGGAATTTTTTTTTTCTTTTAGAATACTATAATAAAATCTCCCTCCCCACAAAGGAATGTGAAATATTTTACAAGCATGATTTACTATTGACCATGGTCAGAATCTGCATTAAGGAATCAACTAACTTCTTGAGCATTAAAACAAACAAGCCCACCTCCCAAATGCTATGGGTTACCATATTACAAAAACCAAAATCTTGGGTTGGAGAGATGGCTCAGAGGTTAAGAACACTGGCTGTTCCTCTAAAGGTCCTGAGTTCAATTCCCAGCAACCACTCAGTGGTTCGCAACCATCTATAATGAGATCTGGTGCACAGATACACATGCAGGGAGAATGTGGTATAATTAACAAATAAATCTAAAGAAAAATTAAAAAAAATCTTGCACTTCTGGACTTTGGGTTCTCTTTCTCTCTCACACACGTTTAGTACTTTGTAATCTGGTTATTTTGTAGGCACAAACCAGCAATGTAGTATTTCTTATTTACTCAAGAGAAAATGCACTGCCATTTATACAGAAATTAGGCAGAGATGGTTTCCAAAACTAAAGCCAAGAAACAGATCTATTATTGAGATAAAAAAAATATTTCATTCTAAACCTAGAATTTCTGTACATTACTACTTATATGTACCTTTGTACTAGAGGTTTTCTACAGGAAGGCAGGGCTGGCAGATAGTTAATACCTGCTCAAAGCATTTGCTCTGTGCTCTGCATAGGCCTTAGAAATAGTCATTCACAGCCAAACACTAGGTGGAGCCAGGGAAACCATGCAGAAGAGGGAAGGATTGTAGGAGCCAGAGGGATCAAGGTCCACAGAATCAACTGAGCAGGGCTTACAGGGGCTCACAGAGAGTGAAGCTACAATCAGAGACCCTGTATGGGTCTGAGCTAGGTCCTGTGCATATGTTGAATTTGTATAGCTTGGCGTTCTTGTGGGACTTCCAACAGTGGGAGTGTGTGTGTGCGCGTGCACATGTGCCGTCTCTGATTCTTTTGCCTGCTCTTGGGACCTTTCTTCTTCTACTGCATTGCCACATCCAGCCAAGAGATGAGGGTTTGTGCCCAGTCTTATTCTACCTTGTTAGGTCAGTGGATATCCCTTGGAGGCCTACCTTTTTTTTTTCTTTTTAAAGAGAAACAGAAGAGTATTTATCTGGGGGAGAAAGGAGGTGGTGAGGGAAAAGTGGAGGGAGGATGTTATATATGAGAAGAGATGGTCCAGTTTAGAGAGAAAAATCTGGCTCTCTGCGCATGTAACAGCCTCTGCATGCTGGTATCAGAAGTCATGACTTCCTTGGGTTAGCCAGGAAGACTAAGTGGTGGTAGAATTTATTTTCTCTTTTGCTATTTGAGACAGGGTCTTATGTTATTTCGGCTGGCTTCGAGCCTGCTGTGTAGTTAAGAATGACCTTCAACACCTGATCTTCCAGCCTCTAATGTTCAATTGCTAAAACGGCAGGTATATGCCACTACATCCAGCAAAGGAAATAAAGTTTTACGTAAAAGAATCAAGAGGCCTAGGAGGAAGCAAAAATCTACTTTGCTTATCATGGGCAGTCTCTGAGATGCTTCGACAGATGCTTTCATTCCAAAGATAAAAGCAATACAGATAATTCTGTCAATACAAATACAAAGATTACTGGAAATCTAGAGAGCAGAATGTGGTACTTAGTTAAATATAGGCTTACTTCAGGTCCCCTACCCTAAAGGTCAACATGAGAAATTAAAAATGCAACTCAACCACTTAGAGCTATGTTGGCAGACTAAACCCTGGACAAACCGAAGTTGGAAAATAATACAATAGTAGAGGGCAAATTTTAAATTTCAGTGGAATAGTATCTGAGTATATATTCTTAAGCCTGAGTTTATGGCTAAGAAAAAACAGTTTAGTTTTTAAACACTGCACATGTTTATAGAAATAGAATCTCATGCTTCAAAGCAACTATCTTGAATCTCAGTTACCATTATTTTTAGCCATGTGTCATAAAAAACTAGCTCTCAGATTCTGCATACAGACAGCTTTATGTAAAATACATAAACATTTGTCCAAATTGGTATACAGATTGCATAAATATGGCAGTTAAGATTGCATTTACAGATGAGCATGTACATTGCTGTGCAAATTATCACAATATTACAATTTCAAAAATTATTCAAACTGGTATCCAAGTAAAGCATTTAGTGAAAAAATAACCATGCAGAATTTAAATATCTCAGAACAAAATTTAAACTGTCTTCATTAAAAGTTCACACATTTAAAATAGTTTTATTCATTTTATTTGTATATGTCAAAATACATTTTTTTTTTAAATTTCCAAAATAGTGGGTTTTGCAACTAGTTTCATGCAGAAACAAGGTCTGCTCAGTACTACCAATAAAGTCCATATAGCACAGTAGCTGTTCAATTTTAGATACAAAGAATAAATAACCTAAATACAAAACACTAAAATATTAGAAACAGGTATTTAATCATTCTTCACAGGCATCCAAACTTCACAAATATAAACCACAGCATGCCTAACTGTTGTGCACCCAGAACACGTTGCAGTCACTCAAACTTATCAATTATCTGTGTCTTTTACCTCCTCACTAGACCATGAAATACTCTGTATTCAGACCCACCATTCATACAGTTCAAATATAACCAAAAATAAATCCTCACACCTATCCTTGTACCTTTAAAATCGAGAATCCTGAGCTTGGTAGTAAGAGTATAACCTTATATCTTCATAAAACCAATCAAGAGAGAGGACTTAAAATTCTACTTACCAAAACACCCTTTCCCAACCCCAAAGTAATCTAAAATAGGCAGTAGAACACAATGACCTTTTAAAATGAAGGGGTACAAATTCACATTTAATATAGTATACAATACACTCAATAATACAATCAGCTACTATAAGCTTTACAATGTACAATTTATTCAAATGGCTGAACTGTTCAGTGGTTAAGGAGACAGTTATGTGCCAGGAAGATGTAATATTTTTTTTTATGGTTTAATGAAAATATAAAAGTTATTTGTCCAAATAAAAGCCATTTTCACTACGGACTTCGTTTTACTTATTTTTTTTTCCCTTAAAAAAAGGCCACTGAAATGTGTAAAAATGGTCTGAACATGACGGTGGTATCAAAGCTGCTGCCTCTTCACATGGCAATAACAGTGCACTTAACATTAATCACAGATTAAGTCTGCAAAGGATTTCCTAGCACTACTTTGGCTAGCACAACAGTTTTAGACAGCACTCAGATAAATATAGGCATGTGAAATGTGAAGCAATTATCTTATGCAACTTTAGTTATGCTTTAATACTACCAAATGAAAACAAAAGTAAAAGCACTGTACAGTAGAAAAACTTGTAAAGATAGGGCTCCATAAACCGTGTAGCCTTTAAGGTCCTTATATTTCATTGTTAGCAAGTTCTGTTTAAAACACCATTATGGAGTAGCCCACTTCGCATTAGCAGACATCTGAATTAAGAAAATAGTCAAGCATGCCATATGGTGGTCTAAAAAAAAAAAAAAAAATCAAAACAATACACTTATTTATATATACAGCATCACTCAGTACCTGCTAAAATGAAAGTGAAGATTACAGAATCTAACATCTTATACTACAATAAAAAAACAAAAACAAAAAGTGACCAATGAAGGCAGAAGATAGAAGATCAAATCTTAATGGACTTTAAAGCATTCATATAAGAAATAAATGCATATTGCACAAACAGTGAAAGAAAATGTTCCACCGAGCAATTCAGTTCCAGGTGGGAGACAACACGACAGCCTAACACGTGACAAGAAGCTCAGAAGAGGAAAGTCTTCTGTAAATGAGAAGACTGTGAACACAGAAAGACTCTGCCACATGAAGAGTTAGAAGAAAAAAATACAAACCCAAACTCAGATGTAAAGCAAACAATTTAAATATTGAGAAACTAGAAACTGTGGCACATCAAAAAAAAAAAAAAAAAGTTGAATAACTGTCTTCTGTGAGAGCTGGAAGTTTTTGTTGACACAAAAGTATTTATGTACAACTAAGGCTTACTGGTTAAATAGCTGAGGCATATCTGGCCTTGAACACTTTCTTTATTTGCTGGAGCTGTAAACAAGTTTTCTCAGTCATTGGAAAAAAAAAATCTTCTCAGCAGCTGCTTTAACATGAAACAATGGTCTTGATAACCGAGGGGGCGGGGCCGAAAGTTAAAGGAAAGGAAACTCCTAGATAAGAGGGCATTTGGCAGGGTATTGGAAAATGAGTCTCCAAGGTTCTTTCAGGCGTCCAGTGACTGCCAATGTGGTCCACTGGGGAACATGTGCAAGTCCTGCCGCTTTGCTTGTTTCTGTTGTCCGTGCTACTTGGAAAGTTTGCTTATAACTCTGATTAAGGCCCCATTTTCATCCTTTAGCCTCTGGTTGTCTGCTTTTAAGTCTGGTAACATCTACAAGGGGAAAAAGAAATAAACATAAGAAAACAGTTCATTCACTTCAATATAAAAGGCAAACAATGTTCTTTACAAATGTTATAGTCACCACAAAACAAATGATCAAGCTTTGTCAGTTGTATGTGTCTCTAATGTCTAACACATATACCATGAAGGAAAAGCAATGCTTAGACGCTAATTAGATGAGTAAATGATGGGATGAAAGTTTATCTTTCCAAATTATCAACTTGAATTCACTAGACTACTGCCCTTTATGACTCACAAGCACACTGTATTAGAGCAGCCATGAAATGAAGTCTGTTTTTGTTATGTTAGGATTGTAAAGTGAGTTCCTTTCATAGCTCCTGTCAACATCTAAATGAAGGCCTTTTGCTATTAAGCTAGATAACGCTACCACTCCAAAACCAAAACAAAACCTCAGCTTAAAAAATTTGAGGACTCGCTCTGAATTATTAAAATTTCTTAAAGAATCCATCTGTAGGACCCAAGTCAGATGGCCTAATACAGTGTCTGATCCCAAAGAGGCTCTTATCAAATGGAAATAATAAACATAAATTGAGTGCTACATGTTGAAAAGAAAGCAATTTAATTCTCTGTTGCTACACAGCCAAACTGAAGTAGGGGAAATGTAAGAAATTACAGTAACTTTCTACTAAGGGTCACTGAAACTGTATGTCCTTTGGCAGGCTGACTACCAATGAAATGAAATAGTTTTTATTTAGGACATTAAAACATTTTCTGATTTTTTTTTTCTTCCAGTTTTTGGAATGTCCTGTGACACTGGCACTTTAGGGAGGAGAACATAAGTGCAGCTTACAAAACTACTCATTCAAGTCCTGGCTTCTGGAAGAGTGAGCTTCACAGGGAGCCACAGACTTCCTGTCCTGTGTTCAGAGCCCAGAGGTGACAAGTGAGTACAAACGACACTGGCCCGTACTGCAAACAATTTCCAAAGGCAGATAAAGTAGGCCCAATCTTCAGCTTAATTTAGATGTTACTTTGTTTGTACCTCATAAAGGATTATAAATACTAAATATATCTAAACTACTTTTAAGCGGAAAAAAAATATGAATGAACTCGGCAAAGGACAGACAAGCCTTTTAATTCCTAAATCATTCCCTAGTTTTACTGCAGTTTATCAGTTACAATATACAATTAGTGACAATTTTAATGTTCTGAGAAGCCATGCATAATTAAACAGTTATGTATGTGATAGTTCTGGACACATGGTATTAATTTGTAGTTGTGAGCTTTTACAAAAACACGCTTACTAACATAAAAACACCTGCCTGGCTCTACCAAGAAGGAATGAAGAAACTATAAATTATAGGCTCACAGACTGCAGCTGCCTATAGAACCCTGAGCGCTTGGCTACCACTCTGGTCAAGGCCCTATTCTCAGCCAGCAGCCTCTCATTTAGCTCCCTCAGAGGTTCAATTTGGTTTATTTGGTGCAGGTTCTGCAGGAATCAGAACATAAAGAAATAGGAATAAAAAATAAGAAAATACTCAAGAGTAAAATAAGAACATAGAGAATCATAGGAAATGAACTAAAATCAATACATAAACAAAATCCATAAAATTTGTTTCTACTTTTCAAAGCTACTTAAAAAACAATTGTCTAATTATAAACTTATTCAGTGAAATGTTTAAAACTTGAAATTCTAATTTCATAAGCGTAATTCTGATGTGAGAGGGTATCTTTATTTCATACTAATAATTAATTATGTGATAAAGATATCTTATAAAAGACAATGTGGTAACAGTTAATAGGTAACCAATTAATTATACCATTGTGTTCCTCTGCAGTGTTCAACATCCACAACAAAAGCATCCACAGTGAAGCAGTGTAATACCTCCGTCTGTCAATCTCAGGTCATGAGCTCACTTCACTTACCCTGAAAGCTGAATGGAGGAGCTCTAGGACTGGATGGAGGACCTCTAGGACTGGATGGAGGAGCTCTAGGATAGGATGGAGGACCTCTAGGATGGGATGGAGGAGCTCTAAGACAGGATGGAGGACTGGATGGAGGACCTCTAGGACTGGATGGAGGACCTCTAGGATGGGATGGAGGAGCTCTAAGACAGGATGGAGGACCTATAGGACTGGATGGAGGAATTCTAGGATGGGATGGAGGAGCTCTAGGACAGGATGGAGGACTGGATGGAGGAGCTCTAGGATGGGATGGAGGACCTCTAGGACTGGCAAGTCCTTCACAGCTGACCTAGATCCTCAGCCTCACTGTCTCTTATTTTTAAAAGCAATTTTATCTTCTCTTGTTTCCTCTCTATAGTTTTCCTTCAAAAAAAAAAAAATGCTGAACTACAAATGGAAATGTGTGGAACTAATAGACCTCACATCTTATATAAGCATTTAATCTTTTTATACCCGAATATCAGAAGTACCATACAAATTGGTTAGCAATTCCAAACCCATGGTGGCCAGATGAAGTGGCGCTTGCCTTTAATCCTGCACGGGCAGACACAGGCGGATCGCTGCGAGCTCAGGGTCAGCCTGGTCTCACAGTGAGTTCCAGGACAGCTGGAGCTACACAGGAGACCCTGTCTTCAAAACACTATGAACCCATGCCACACAGATGGCCCTGGTCAATCTCAGTGGGTCAGAAGGCAAAACAAACATGAATGTAAGAAGGAAGTTTGTAGGGAAAAGAGTGGGGAGCAGCTGAACTGGGGTGGGGGGAAGTGAAGTAGGAGACGGTGGGGGTGAGAGTAATCAGAATGAATTATATACAGGTAGAAAACTGTCAAAAGTAATATAAATTATAATAAGACAATGATCTTGGGCTGGCAAGATGGCTCGGTGGGTAAAGTGCCTCCAAGCCTGGTGACCAGAGTCCAATCTCCAGAACCCACATGGTGAAGGAGAGTACTGACTCCAAAGATACTCTCTGACCACAACACTCATGCATGGCATGTGCATCCACCACACAATATAGACAAAAAGTAAATAAACAGATGAAAACCATAGCAAAGTGCACTAAGCTTGCATGACTCTTCTAGATTATCAAAACCTAGACTTAGGAAGAGAAGCATGATATAGAGAATGCACAGCTTGGGCCATCAGAATCAAGAACATAAGCAGTAGGACAGCAGTGTTAACAAGATTTCACTCCACAGTGTTCTCAACAGCACGGTTTACTTACTTTAAGCTCTTCTTCCATTTCAGATATTCTTCTTTCTAGAGCTCTTCGTTCCTAGATCAATTTAAGGCATCATAATTATTGAATTATATTCACATTGTCTTTTATATAGTGAGCTAGTGATACTTCAGCATTAAAGATAAAATCAAGAGCAGTGAACAAAAAGATGTGATGCCAGTGCTGTGTAAGGAGCTCTCTAGAACTGGGAAACACATTGAAGATCTTTTAAAATTACTTTCTTTAATGTTCTGTATTTCTAGTAAGGTGTTACATAACATGTCCAAATTATTATTATTTTAGTTCAGATAAAACTTAGGGGTAGAGTAAGCCAATATTCAAGATTGAAGACTAAATAGAAAAGAACACACACACACACATACACACACACAAAGATGCAATTATACTACTGTGACAGGAGCAGAGAAGCAAGAAGCAAACATGCCTAAAATATGTGTACTTTAAAATTACCTAAGGATCCCAGAGAAACTCATTTCTCACACTCACAATGTTTACTGTGAATTAGCTATCCAATTCACTTTACAGCTTCAGCTATATAGATTTATAGTCAGAGGTTGATGCTGCGTGTAGCGTTAATGCAGTGAATACAGGAGAGCAATTACAGCATTTATTTTAAATTCATTTCAAAAAGTGGCAGGCAAAGCCAACATACACTATATTATCGCAGTGTACTGTTTTGTTCCCTTATATGATAAGCATTTCTAGAGTGGTAAGCAAAAAGCGAGCAGCAGTCACTGATGAGCTGTAAAATTGTTAGGTCATACCGCCCAGAAGATACTGACTCTTGCCGGTCACCTTTCAGATACAAACCATTTACATTTAGTTTAACAACACTGAAACTATGTCAATGACATTCTTTCCCAGAATAACAATCAATGTTAATATTTAGTGATGTAGTACAATTATTGTAAATGTCAATGTGTTTAGGGCATGTGCTTTTAAAAAAGGGACGAAGGGCCATTTATATTCTTATAAATACTATGTTAAATTCATGTAACATTAACATGCTTAAAAATTATTATAGACATAAATGTTACTTTATAATAAACCTTTCTTTTAGCTACGAACACAACCATAACAAATTCACATAAACCACTCTATTTCTCAAAACACCAGCAAATACAGCTTCATATTTGATCCTTACAACTTATACATACATACATACATACATACATACATACATACATACATACATACATACATACATACA